GAAGTCTAAGGGCAGAGAAGTGGCCCTCCAGTCCTCCTCCATACCTCCTGCTGTATCAACTCAACAAGTTCCTGACCCTTTCTGGACTTCAGTTTTTCCTTTTTGGCACCACAATGAAGAAGCTAGATAAGAGAAACCTTAAGGGGCTACTGCTCGGGGCTGACCTCACCCAATCTTGGGCTTAGAGCAAGAAAGGCATGCACTCCTTCCCCATTGTACAGGTGGGGAAACTAAAGGCAAGAGATGGAATAAATAGACTACAGTTCTGAAGACAGGAAAGGAAGTTCAAGAGGCCCATAAAAGGCCTCAAGGATAGAAGAGGGAAGAAGCCCATGCAAACCCCAAAACCAGACCTGGATGCCCCCAGCCTGGTCAGCTTCTCCATCTCTCCTCTTTCCCAGCCTGAGGCCCAGTCTGGTGCAGACTGGCAGAAATGCAGTGTCACCTGAGATGACCATCCTTTCCCAGGCTGGCTGGTGGCCCTTACTCCAACCCCTCTAGAATAGGGGGCGTGGCTGTTCAGATTTTTAAACTCTGGCTAGCCTAAGGCCCCCCAGTCCCACCCAGACCCGCCTCGGTGAGGGATGAAATGCTTTATTGATTAAACGATTATTCAGGCGATTGAACTAATCAAAGAGCTCATCGACCGCCATGAATTACATTCTTCATAGACAGCTTGTCAGGAAAGGCAGCCGGGCCAGCCACGCAGACACTCTCCTGGACCCTCACAGGCCTCTGACCCATTCCCAACACGTACACAACCCTTAGTCCCAGTACAGGCACCTCTGGGAGTCCCACCTACTAAGAGATCCACTGGAGATGAGTGGGATGGAGCAGAGGGCATTTCCAGGTTTCCCTTCCTCGACATGGAGAATCCTCTTCATTTGGGTTTGATTTCTACCCTAACTGCTCTTCCTTCACGAATTTGGAAACACATTTAAGCCCAGGGAATTGTCTTGGGTTTGGGGTGTAAGTTCACTCCTCTCTTTCTGCTTTCTGAGTAGAGGTGGGGGATCACAGATCCACAAGAATGGAGAAGGGGAAGTTCTTGCCAGGGCCAGGACTGTGTCTGGGTGGGCATTAGCACACTTGGCCTAATGAGTAAAAGAGCCTCCATATCAGGCTTTTACCTCAGGGCAAACAGAGGCCTCCTGCTGCCTGACACTTCCTCTCAGATATAAACACACCCTGCTCTACCCACTGCACAGGCCTGTAGGAAGCACACAGGGCCCTGTGCCAGAAAGGCCTGTGCACATACAGGCACCAGAACTGGATAGCCAGGTTAAGTACACATGTCCACCCCTCGCGCTCGCCTCCATGGAGCGGCAACCACAAAATAAAACCTGAGCACACAGTACGCACATACACACACTCACACCAGTGTCAGAGACTTGTGTAGCTGAAAACGAAGGCAGGATGGGGTTCCCTAGAAATGCCTCTACTAGCCTGTAGGCTGCCTGCTATCACCTGCCAAGGTTGTGCCCGACACAGGAGACCCTTTTATACAAACGATAGGCTTGACAGTGCCCACAGGGAGAAGCAATGCACATCACATATTGAGGGTCTGCACACTTTGAATTCAAGCACACCCTGAATTCACACCTTCACTTCTGGTTCTCCCAACACAATGGGACCTGAGCCTGACAGTTCACAGGCTTAGCACAACAGAAGCCCACAGGCCCTAGACCCATCTCTGTGCCTAGAGGCTGACACTTTTGTGTGCATTGGCATGTACACAGCAAACAGCTATTCACATCCAAAAATGGAGGAGTCAATGTAACCATATCTTTCTCACTCCAAAATCACTTGAGATATGACAGGTGAACACAGAGCTTTAAAGGAGTAGATGTGTACTCAAACACTTATCCAAATTATATATATACCACTCAGACACACATTTTGGATACTCAAAATAACAGTACCCAGGGAACACCAACTCATAAACACACACTAACATACTCGTGAATATAAAGACATACACAGGCACATAAACTCTTGGACACACACTCAAACATTTGAAAATACTTATACGGGAGCACACAAACTCATTGTCACTTATGCACACTTTGAACCCATATGTAAACACACAGACCCAAACTTTCAGACCCCTAGATAGACACCTACATAAACATTCAAAAATAGAGAAAAATTAGGCGAACTCTCAGGCCGATGCAGAAGTTTGAACAGATTGGTAAAAAAAACATACAGTGCGCCTCAGACAGACCTGCAGTCAATCCCGGCGAAATTGAGGCGCACCCCCTCCCCCAGGGCCGACACACGTGAGAACCAGCGCCAGGCTGGGTCCCCGGGTTAGAGCGCGTGGAGCGGGTATCGCGGTCCTCCTACCTGTCCTGCCGGTCCGAGGAGTTGGATAATTTTTCTCTAAATCCATTTTGATTTTTCAGAACTTGATGGAATGGACAGGGGGGAAAAAGTTTCCACTTTTTTTTTGCTTCTTTTTTTTTTTTTTTTTCCCCTGGTGCCAGGGGCCGCTCACAGGTCGGAATAATTCAAGCCTTCCGCTCCCCCGCCGAGCTGGGGTAGCTGATCACTGAGCTGAAACTAAACGTTTTAGGTGGAAAAAAAGCGTCCGAAGGCACCGTGAAATGATTAAGGAACTAAAGAGCTTCTCGCCATGTGAGATCATGTCCTGTTCTCGCCAACATCACAAGATGTCCCCAGACACGCCGCGCCCCCAGCGTGCGGCCCCGCGCTGCCGGCCCAGAGCCGGGCAAGGGTGTCCGCGCTGTGCGGCCGGGCCTTCTCAGCTGGACAGACGGGGCGAGCCGGGCCGGACCGGGCCGGAGCAGTGCCGGAGGCCCGGAGAGCAGCAGTGCCGCCGCCGCGCGGCCCTGGACTTTTATAGGGGGTTGGGGGGAAGGGAAGGAAGGAAGGCTTCAGACAACCCGGAGCTAGCCCGCGCACTTACGGGAAGGGGGCCACCGAGGGCGAGCCGGGAGCCCTGGCCTCGGGGCAGCACCTTCTACAAACCCCTGTGTCTTGGTGTCGCGGCCCTTTGCGCAGTGCGTGGGAACGGTGACCCCTCTAGGTGCAAATCTCGCCGCGTAGGCGGGTGCAGGCCCGGTTTTTGTTTTTAAAGAAATTAACCAATCTGCCAAGCAGGTGATTTTGAGGGGGGTGCAAAGGCAAGAGGTCTTGCCAGGCATTCGGTTTCCTCAGATTCACCCCTAGGGCGGCGCCCGCCCCCAGAACTCCTAGCCACCCCACCTCCGCCCCACTTTGCAGCTCTAGTACTATTACTGGGTCCCTGACTCTAGGGCAATGCCAGAACCCTAAAGCCCCCGGGTCCCACTCAGACCCCTGGTCGCAGTTCTCTCCGCCACACCATGTCTCATTCTGGCCAGGAGCACAAAGGTTAAGCTGTGAAATGCTGGTGATAAAATCCGGACCTCTGCTTTGGAGCATCCGGGCTGAGCAGAACCATATCTGGAGGTCCTGGAGATTGGCTGCAGTCCTGGACACTTTACCCCAGCCCATGAATGAAATCCCTTGGCCCTCAAGCCCCAAAAGGTTGCGGCGTCCTCGGGCCCCAGGACTTGATTCCAGAGGGGAAATCAGCCCTAGAGAGACTGGGCAGAGGTGTGGCATGTCCATCCAGCCCGTTCTCTTCGGCCCAGGCTCAAGATTTCCCTCCCCTTCTCCTTCCCCAGTCCCGAGTCCAGCTGCTCCGCCTGGTCACTGGAAGCCCTTGGGGCCCCGTTGCGGGGTGGTCGCAGGGACACGGTTCTCGTGGGGGGGCGGGGGAGGGAGTGCGGAAAGCGCTCCGCAGGAGGACTCTCCGCCTGCCGGACAATGGCAGTTTCGGAAAGTGAATCGTCCTCAGCTAGAAGGTTGTTTGTTTTTTGGGGGGTGGTCACGAGGCAGGGCCGCAACCTAGGGGGAAGAGCCCAGAACTCGAGAAAAGGGGTGGGGGGGGCCTCAGCGGGAACCGGGCATCGCTTATCCACTGAGCCGATTTTGCCACAATCGGAAACGTGGTTGTGGATTCCCCGGCGGCCCCCCCACCAAGTAGTCTGCGCAGTCCCCCTGCACCGCCTCCTTCCTGCAGCCTGCGGATCCGGGTCCCTGTCCAGCGATTTGATTTTTGGCCATCTCGGAGCGCTAGACTCTTCCCCACCGCGGCCGGGCCGCAGTCCCTGCTTCCCGCCCTCCGGTTTAGCCGGCGCGGGAAGGCTGCGCCAAGGAGGAGCGGCCTGTCCGCGCCTAGAGATCAAAAGCTCTCCCGGAATTGACATTTCACCCCGGGCTGGGGAAGGGGTTCTTTTTCTTTTTCTTTTTCTTTTTTTCCTATTTAGAGGATTTGTTTTGTTTTTGTTTTCTTTTTCATTATCTGTGAGACTGTGAGAGAGTCTTTTGTTTCAGGTGTTTTGCATGTTGTTTTTTCGTGGATTTCATTTTAGCGGGTTTTGCTCTGTGTGTCCTGATCTTTTGGGTAGGTTTTGTTTTCTGTCTTGTGCGTTACGATTTTGTGTGTGTTTTATACTCTCTCCTTGCAGGCTCTTTTTGTGTGTCGTTTGGAAGGCTGTTCCTTCTGCGTGGTGCTTTGATGTGTTTTGACTTTGTATTAGTGGGTGTCGTGTGTGCTTTTCATTAGGTGAATTTTGTGTTTGTATGTATTTTGTTTTCTTCAATTTTGATTTTGTTTTTATGAGCCATGTATTTGGTTGGGGGTTATGTTTTCGTGTGTTGGCTTTAGTTTTTGTGTTTGTGGGATGCTTTGGTGAGTTTTTGCGTGTGTGTTTTGCCTTTGTGGGGCTTTTGGATTAGGGAGAGGACACCAGCCATCACTCCATTCCTTTTCTCACTCCGGAAGGGCAGAAGATTAGGCCAAGTTTCACGAATGCTGAGTTCTCCGTGTTCCGAAATACCTGACCTCCGCGCCGCCGCGTTGTACTCTGCGCGCTCCGGACCAACGCAAAACAATTGTGCGTTCCCGAGGGGGCGCCAGTGCCCGGGTCAGAATTCACAGAGAACCCCTCCCCCTCGCAGGGTACCCAGGCCCAGCCGCCGTCCCGTTGCCCACCCTGTTTGCTGTAGGTCCATCTCCCCTTGCGCCTGGCTAGTATGCTTCAGACTTCCACGACTCCCGTAGCGTTAAACCAAGGAAAGGCTCCCCGCCGTGGAGCAGGTGGCAAACCTCTTCGGAGGACACGGAACTGATGCTGCGGCCCTAGAGATTCTGGGCAGAGCGCTAGGGATACGTGCAGTCTAGGCGCAGATCGGCGTCTGGACCCCTGAACCGCGCCCCCTTCCCCATTTCACTTGTCTGCAGCTCTGGAATCCTAGAAATGAAACTCCAACTCAGCTTTCGATTTGGAGAGCCTGCCCTGGTTCGCAACCATAGACACAGAAAACACAGCAAGAGAACGAGAAAGAGAAAGCGGGCGCCTTGGTAGCAGCGGCCTGCATGGCGGAACAGCGCTGGCACCACCTCAAGTAGAAGCCAAACTGTAGTACCCAGAAATGTTCCAAGGACAGAAAAGTCTTTCTTTCTGTCCACATTGTCGGAGTTTAACCTCGATACACCTGGATTTGTTTAATGCTGCGCTAGGGAGAGAAGGAAAGGCAAATTTAGAAAAGCAGAAAGACATGTTAGCTAAAGCGGCAGGGGAATATGAGAAGAATCTATAGAGGAAAAAAAAAAATATGGAGAGGAAGAGACAAGACTGTGGGAGAAAGGCCGATTGAAGGCCCAGGAAAGGGGCTGGTGCAGAAGCTCCTCCGGTTCCCGCGGGCTCTGGCATTCTCTGAGAGAGAGACAGCAGAAATCGAGAGCAGTGTCGCAGAGGGGGTTGGCCTAGGCACGTTGCGAGCTTCCCTCCAGCCTAGGACGCTGCAATCTAGGGAGGGGGAGGCCGACGTCTCCCGGCGAGGAGCCGAGGTCGGGCTCTTCTACTCAACCAGGAGACACCCGAAAACTCCAGGGCTCGTGGAGCAGAGACTGGGGCTCGGTTCCGGCCTGGCGCCCCCCTCGCCCCGAGACCTCCAGTCCGGAATCCAGCAAAGGTTGAGTCACCGCGGTCGGCCGCTGGGCCTCCCTCTGTGCGAGCCCTGGGAAAAGCCGTGGGCAACAACCCTGGCCTTCGGGCTCTAGGCTGGAGCTCGCGCAGAGTGGGTGGGAGCCGACGTCCAGGAAGAGGCGAGGAGAAGGCCCCGCCCTAAAGCCGGGGGCCCAGTTCTGGGAGCGGCTGAGGCCGCAGTTGGACTCGCAGGATTTGGGGTCCGCTACGGGGCACGTGGCGCTGCGCCTTGGGCAGGCGGCGCCCCTAATGCCCGGCCCCGCCCCGCTTCGTTTGCCGGGCCTGGATGGTGTCGGGATTGAGGGTGGACGCCGAGTCGCCGCGAGTCGGTCCGTCGCGGTACCAGCTTAGGGTTTGCATAGGGGTGGCGCGGGGGTGGATAAGGGCGCCTCTTCACTCACAACTCCCGCTGCGCGCAGCGCAAAAAACGCTCAACGCAGGCCAGTCGCCGCCGCAGGTTTTCAAGCGGCGCCCGCGGCGGAATGGGTCCGAGGAATGGTGTGGGTCAAAGCTCACATTTCTGCTGCCAGTGGGGTCCTCTGCACGTAAAGGGCCTCGAGCTGTGGCTGCTGGCTCGCTGGGGCACCATGTGCTAGAGGCTCTCTACTCGGGCATCGCTGGAGAACACGATGGGGCTGTGTTCGGGGAACCTGGTGCTCATGTCGGGTTATTGCTATTGTTGTTTTACTTTACTGCCTTTCTTCTTTAATTAAAAAGTGTTGTTGAGAGAGGCCTCAAAGAGCGCAGACCTGGGTCGTTTGGACGGGTTCCTTTCAACTCAAATTCAGGAATTCAATTCCGTTCCACGACTGGTATCTGGCGCACAGGTACACATGGCAGACGTCAAGTGGATGCCATATACATATGCACAGAGACGATTTGAAAGGAACTCTTGGAGAATTTTGAGATAAAATTCACTCTCCTGGAGTTACATTCGAAATATATGAATATGGAAAGGAGGCAGTCAGTTATATTTAAAATTTGCCAACACGTCCCAGCAATCCATTATTACCTGAGAATCCAAAACGGGGCATTGAAAAGATTTACTGGCACTCTGATCATTTAACATTAAAAACAATTGTAAATCAGTTTATTTCTCCTTATATTTCCTTTTAAATGTAACGATGCCATAATTGGCAAGTAATAAAATCATATGTTGCTAAAGAAAGTTTACATGTAGAATGTTTTATTTCCAGCAATATTTATACGATGAATCGTTGGCTCTCCCCACCCCCTTTTCTTCTGTTATTTCTTCTTGCAATGTGAGCTTTAAATATTCATGCGCCAGCCCAGACTTGCATTTATTTAATATGTTTTAAACTAATAACATTTTAATGTGATATAATTTGATTCCATGAAGTACTGGAACATCGAGGAGCCTGCTTTCATACACGATTTTGAGTGAGTGCACAGGTTAAATGATTCTTTAA